AAGAATTTAAGGTATTTAACCTCAGTAGATATGATTAAGGAAATGTACATAGTACAAAGCAATGAAGAGCACAGAATTCTATCTAGACTAGCTGAGTTAGAATCTGGCTCCCCAGATTAGTTATGTGACACCAGGTTTAAGTTCTCCCAGAAACAGAACCTGGGATAAGCATTCATGAGTAAGTGATTTACTTGGAAAGGCACCCTAGGAAACACTGGTAAGTAGGGGAAGAGGTGAAGAAAGGACAAAACAAGGAAGCTAAAAATGAGTACCCTGCCAAGCCATCCCCCTGAGGAGAACCGGCATCCTTCTCACAGGAACTCTGGGAGGAAGTGTATGTCCAGTACCTATCAGAGTTGTTATGATTTGGATGATGGTTTGTTCTCCAAAGTTTCGTTTTTGAAATATGATGTTGGTGGGTGAGAGGCCTAATGAAGCTGACTGGATCATGGTGACCGAATCATGAGAGGCAATACTCTTGTGAATGGAGTAATGATGTATTTCCAGATCCAGTAAATAAGAATGGGTTAGTTTTGGTGACAGCTGGTTGCCATAAAAAAAGAGAGAGCTGCTTGCAGCTGTCTTTCTCTTTCTGTGTTCATCTACCATCCTCTGGCTTCTGTCAGCCATAGTGTAGGCCAGCCTTACAACATGGTGCCAAGGCTATACCTTCTTATTTTTAAGCTTCCTGAACTGTGAGTTAATAAATAATGTTTCTTTATAAAAATCTATTCTCAGGTATTTCTGTTAATGACTCGAAATGAACTAAGATAAGAGTTGTCCTAAATGAAGAAGGTGGAGGATTTTTTTTTTTCTTTTACTTTCTTCTTTTTTTTAAATTCATCAACTTTCTGGTTTTTAACCAGTTGAGGGCTGCTTCCTAGGACATTAACTCTCTGGCATTCCAGCTTGCCCTGCATGAGACTGAACATGTGCCTGTGCCCCTCAGGCAGAGAGTGGTAGGTGTTAGGGGTCGGCAGTGTTAGTTATTACTATCTTATACTTGAATGATGCCATAACACCAATATGATCTAAGTTGTGTCAAGAAAATCTAAGTTAGGTTAACAAAATTTAAATATAACCAATATTCATGGGTACTTAGTATTATGCTAAATGCTAGAAAATTATTGTATAATTGCAACAATATTTATACTGGAAAATGAGACCACATTTGGTCATTTTGGAATCCATGCTAAGAGGATACCAGGTATCAAAAGGGGATAACTGATCCTACTATCAACTATAAATGGTCACCTGTAGGAAGAGTACCAATGAAACCCAAAGAGTGAAACCCAACTGTTTTAATTTTCATACATTCAGTGTCAAATGCTTATAGAACAGTATAACAGTATAACACATGAGATTCCCAAGAAAATAAACAATTCTGGCATAGAGGTTCCTTTGAAATCAAAGAGAATATGAATTGTTCAGGAGAATTGGAAAATCCTAAGTACAAACCATGGCTTTGGAATTAGTTATAAAAACGAGTATTGTGTCCTTTATTAGATCATCGGGAAAGTCATGATATAGCTCTCTATGCAAAAATGCATCATGACTTTCCTGATGACACAATATACTTTCTTTTTCAGTTTTCACAAGTAATGCTAAAGTTCAGCTAATTTTCTTCTTTTATTTCCTGTCTCTCACAGTTTTATAAAGGATAGGGTATTGGTGGCTAACTTTATCATTCAGTCTATGGTCATGAATATCAAGATGAGATTGTGATAGAATTAGAAGAAAGAAAATGCATATAGTTCAGAAATCCTAGATCTGTTAACTAAAGTCACTTTGGCCTGTCTACCTTTTTTATTGAATGTGGCTATACTATATTCGACAGTAGTATTCCTTCCTTTCTTTGCCCTCCCCCAATTTGGATTTCTAAATACCTATTCAAACAGGTGGAGTAGAAAACTAGAGAGAAATGACAGAGTGGAGAAAAGGAATTGCAAAGGAGAAGTCTCCATTCCTACCAAAGATATGGAAAGAATATGTACATTTTCTATGGCTCAAGTGTACTCCACAGAAGGAAGGGTCTTCTTGCTGGGACTCCATTCCCAAGGGCTAACCTTTAGGAGTGAATCTTCAAGCAGCAAGAAGCTGTGGCAGATGGTGCTGTGGGCAGTCAGAGAGATCACCACAGGAACAGAGCCCATTTATCTGGGCCTATACAAAGAGGAGGCTCACTCAAGAGAAAACCAGCCTCTGGTTGCAACCACATGGGGAACCTCAGAGACATCTCCCTTCTCACCTTCGGTTTTCACTCCCAAAATGGGGAATCAGAGAGGGACCTACAAGAGGATGGAGAGGAGAAGTAAAGGACACATCAAGATCCTTCAGGTCTGGGTATATCTGGGGGCAGCCACGGGGGATGAGACAGGTAGGGAAGAGACAGAATTAAATTTCCACAGAGCGTGAAGGCAGTTACTAAAGAAAATTACAAATACATTTCATATCTTTACCCTGTCAATTTCAGTTATGCCCACAAAAATGCATACTTAGAAAAAGCCAGAAAAAGAGGAAAAAAGTACAAGAAAATCTAAGACTAAATTCAGTTATATTAAGTCAGTGGGCCATTGAGATTAGGGTTCTTCTTCTACCTCTCCACATATTTTTACTGTCGTCAAACAATACATAAAATAAAATATAAATATGCCAAATTCTTATCAAAGTTGTTTTACACATAGACACACACATATACACATTAGGAGACTTTGAAAAGTATGTGAAAACAATGGAATTAAAGTATGAGTTTATTTTGGTGCACAAATGTTTTAAGATCTACATATAGTTTCTTTCATAATGTGTATTTTCCATGAACTTTTTAAAGAACACACACACACACACAGACACACACACACACGCGAGTCTGTTCCCTGGGTGTGTGCATGTCTTTGTATACACTTAAATATATATCAATGGAAGGAAAGCAAATGTTTTATATACTCATTTTCTGTGAGAATAAAGCTACAATGCTTTTGAGATACTAGAATTGCATTCATATTTATAACGTTTAGAAAACCTTGATGGAACATGGATTCAGGGAACAAAGTTCTGAATATTTTTGTATCTCCTCACAATCCCTGAACTATTTTTCCCTTTCTAGGACTATTTTATGGTTTATTCTGGGTTTTTATTCCATATAAAAAGGACTGTTTTCCAGCATTTAATTGAACACTGCAATCAGAAAGCACAAAAGAGAAGCTAACCATCTACTCAGTATATACCTTGGCATTACTTTTTTTTTTTTTTTTTTGAGAGGTTTTTTTCTCTAGGGGCAG